GCCCTAAATCCAGACAAACTGTATCACTCGTGGCTCAGCTCCGGCTGCAGGTCGCTCTGGGGAGCTGAAGCTGCTTCTGACCCGCACTGGGCAGCTGCTGGGCTCTGCTCACAGAGGCCACCCCTGCAGCCCCCCACAGCCAAACCCTTGCTACAGAAACACAGCACATTGTTCAAGGCAAGTGACTCTGGCATCAACAGACATAGTGTGACTTGAACAGATGGCATCATTTCACCTGACTGCTTTACGAGCCATGTGCAACCAGAGAGACAGAGAGGGACCTTTTCCAATAGCTGTGCTACATCACGAATTGGATACACTCACTGTCTAACAGCACCATATGAAGCAAGAACGCACTATTCCTCAACAGTGAAGGGTGAGGGATAGAATCATTCTCATGCTAAAACAGTATTAATACCTCTTGTGATAAAACAAGTTCACTGGCCAGCCATGACAACTGTGAGGGGGTATTAAGAACATGGCAATGAGCAGCTGAAGTTTCACACAACAAACAGAGGAAGTAACCTGAGGAATCCACACAAAAATTCCAGTACAACAATTCAAACTGAAACTCAGAACTGTAGTATTCAACAGATCAAAATGCAGCGTGTAAAGCAGTTTGGGGTATGAATAGCTGAAGCAAATTCCTCATTCCTCAATTTAGGTTGCTTGAGGATGTCGTGTCCATGCTGCCTGAAGCTGTGCCAGTAGCCAAGTTAAACAGAGTATCTGCTATCAGTAGAGGTAGTAACAGTTTCCTACCCTGCCAACTGTTTCCAATTTGACACTTTCAACTAAATCAATTGGAGTTATTTTCTCTAATTCTCTTTGCCTTGTCAGCCTGTTGTCTGCCTGATTAAAAGTCACCTTTGTCTTCCTTCGACAAGGAAAACGTCTTTCAGCCCCATAAGAGAACATGTGAGCCATCTCTACAGCACTATTCACACAATTTTTGCTGTTTCCCTACCAGCCTGCCCCTTTCATATCATCTTTATCAGTGGAAGATTACTCAGATACTACCAATATAGCAGAAAGTCAAACTTGACACGGTGAAAGCAAAGAATGTCCCTTCCTCAGTGCCCCACTACTACCTATATGTTGCCACCAGCTCAGCCTCCAGTTCTGTTTTCTTACAGGAAGAACTTCCACCCAAGTTAATCTTTGATATACTACTCAACGTCCGTAAGTTGATATGAGGACAGGTTTGACTAAACTCGCCCTCCTCCTTCCCCTTCGAAAGGAAATTGCAGCACTTGCCCCAAACCATTCAGTAAGTGCTACAAACACCACCATCCATCCATCTGTTTTTTTCTAACACGATTAGCTTGCTCTGTCTTGTCTGTGCAGTTTGTCCCCAGATGAGCTTTGGCACACAAGTCCTTCAGGGCCCAGACCTGTTACTCAGCAATTAAACGTTGCATTTCATTGCTATGTTTCAGGGATGGACAGAACTGTGCTGTTTAAAGGGCTCTATTGCCTTTGGCTGTCCACAGCGAGGCCACATCTTGATATTACATAAAGAATCCATTCTTAGTTGCCGAATAGCGTGCAGACCAGTGAATATCAGTTCGTATCTAATGGAAGTTGACAAAGGTTCCTATACAGAGGAATCCGTTTTGAAGTGGTAGCTGCATTGAAATGAAGTGAAAAATCCTAGCTCTTTTGACTAGAAATCTGCACAGCCCACTTGAAACTGCACTTGATCTCGACCATCCAAATAGCAGTTGTGACATCCTGACTCAAGGCTTGGCTGAAATCCTGCAATAACTTCTTTCCAACATAGCCAAAGATTTGGGCACTGTGTTTACAACAACAAAACTTTAACCTAGTGTGCCTGGACGTAAAGTTCCTTATCAACAATAATAAATAATAAAGTTCCTTATAAAGCCTTAAGATGGCTTTTCAGAAGGGAATTGATGGCTGGACTACATGCTCCAGAACAGTGTATATACTGCAGACACTCATATGGACAGATGAACCAGTGAGGCCACTTGCCAGAACTGCTCCCTCCATCCCTCATCCCCTGGTATAGGGACAGGAACTGAAAAGCTACACAAGCAGCCTGGTGCCTAAACACTGAGGGTGTCCAGACTGCATCAAGCAAGGCAGTCACAGCTATGAGCTCAACCCCTGTCCCAAACATGGTTCACACCACAGATGTGCCCCGAAGCCCCGCTGGTTCCTGAGACCTTCAGCACTGCTCACAGCCTGCACTCAATAGAGCTGACACAACTTGGGTTTGGAAAACCCCTCTGGAGGCCTCACCGCCCACCCAAAGCGGTGCTAAACTCAAAGCTGGTGGATCGAATCAGAGGAGCACACGCCAAGGCACAGCCACAAGGCTGAATGGGCACGAAGCAGAGCTAGAAGAGCTCGTGCAGCCATACAGCAGTAACCTCACCTCCACCACTGAGCCAGCATCACATCTCCCTCCCCAGACCTCACAGAGGCTACAAACGACGACGCTCCCTTCATAAACAAAAAGAAAGCAAACACAGCCTTCGCTCCCGCTCCCAGCTCAGCACACCAGATCTCAACACCCCTCCCCAGCACCCCTTGGGGACCCCCCGCCCTGCGTCGCCCCGCGATGCCCGCAGGTACCGCACAGCTCCGTTCGCACGCTCTGCCGCCGCCCAGCTCCGCTCCAGCCGCGATGCAGCACCCGAGGCCCACGCGCGAGGCTGCGGCACAGCATCACGCCCGCAGCCGGCACCGCCCGAGGGGATGCGCGGCCCTACGATGCCCCTCGGGCCGCCCCGCCCGTTCTCCCGTCTCGCTCACCCAGGCGGAGCCCGCAGCTGCCGGCCACGGCGGCGCGGAACCGATCCATGTGGGTGTTCCGCTTGCTGTCGGGCTCCCACATCACTTGCGACTCCATGATCTCAGGCTCGCGGGACATGGCGGCGCAGAACGGAGGCGCGCGAAGAACCGTCACCGCTCTCGCAGAGCCGCCGCACAGCAGCTCCCCCGCCGCGGCTCTCAGCGCGCACTGCGCGGCCCTGTGCGGGGCGCTGCGCTTTAAGGGTCGCTTCACCGCCGGTCGCGGTAACCTTCCGCGGAGCCGAAGGAGTGCGCCCCGCCCGTCAGAGCGTGTCCTTCCACTGCACCGCCGGCCGTCCGCGGGCTCGGCGCGGCAGCTCGGCTGCTTCTCTTGATAGCCGTGAACTGGCAGACGTAGCCCAGAGCGGGACAGCGGCGTGTAACGCGCTGCCAAGTAAATCTGGCAGGCCTGGGAAAACACGGGATTGCGGCAATCGCACGGCCCCGTGCCCTCCGGCTCGGCGCTGGGGTCACTCAGGTGTGAAGCGAGCGGTCGCTGTCCCCGTGCCCTGCGCGTGGCCGCACAGCCGCTCCCCTCGTGCGCTGAGGTGTGACATTTTGGGGCAGCCCCTCCGAGAGCCTCGCCCGGCGCTCCCAGCCCGCCTGTCACATTCAGCTCGGGCACGGACCGCCGCAAAAAGGGGTGATTCCCGCTTTCGCCCCGCTTGCCCCGCACACCCTCCCCCCTCCGGCCGCCGCCCCTCAGGCGGCCCCGCGCTGCGGACGGATCCGCGCGGCGCACGGCGGTTACGACGCCGCCACGAGCGATTGGCCGGCGCGCGCCTGGCCTCACATCAGCCCAGAGCCCGCTCTCCTCACGGCTAGGCTGAGCGGGGAAGAGCTGACATGGCGAGGAACCAATCAGCGCGGACATTTTGCAAGCCGTCGTCTCTGCCGACCAATGAGCTGACGCATCGGAAGGAGGTGTGCCCAATCCGGGGGGAGCTCTTATTCTCAGCGGAGGGTGGAGGGCTGGGTGCTGAGGGGTGCTGGTTGTAATCGTTTTCAAAGCAAGTTTGCATTCAAAAAGAAAACGTGGCTCTAAATGACCCGAGGAGGGACCCAAAAATTCTCCTCCCTGAGGTCAAAAAGGCCCGGTTTAAAGCAGGCTGCCCCAGTGGGAGGAGGAAGGAGCAGGTGGGGTTTGTGATAGAAGTCGAGTTCTAGGAACACCTGGCGCCCTTCTCATGTATGAACAGCAGTTGCACTGCTGCATCCTCGCTTTGGATCTGTCTCCCTGTACCTCACTGTTATTCCTCTTTTTCCTTATCCAAATAAAACATTTTTTCATCTTTCAAAAGTGACTTCAGAGAAGCGGGAAGAAAAGGGAGAACGAAACCTTTCACAGCAAAAGGAGCTCAAGGAGGAATGCAGTGACTGCTAATGATTCAGAAGCTAGATGAGAATAGTTAGGGGGAAAATAACCCAAATGAGGTTAACTGGAATTCACAATTTACAAATCTTTTCTTACCCTGGCTTTATACCTAATAGCGGTAATAATCGGCTACAAATTAAATCACGGTTTGCGCTCTAGATTAGATTAAGAACCCTTCAAAGGACATTGCAGGAGTTATTAAGAGGAATGGTGATGATACTGCCTCACTTGTGGCACAACTAACCTGCAGCCAGCCTGTTAAATTAAAACAAGGGACACAATCACTGAGAGCTAACAGTTTTGTAATTACACCTCAGGGCGCTCTGTGCTCAGGATTGATCGTGAGCCACTGTTCCAACAGCTGCATTAAGAAACTGTGCTCCAAATCCCCATATTCGGAGTAGCCACCAGCTGGTTAATTGGGCTGTAGGAGGGTGAGAATCTTGAGGCACAGCTGGCATTCTTGGGCTCAGCTGCCCTTGAGTGGTGCCTGAGGTAAGGGCAGCCAGAACAAAAAGCAAAAGCAGAAAGTAGGAAGACAAAAAAAAAAGAAAAGAAGCAGTGAAGCACAGCAAGAAAAGCCTCATAGAGATAACAGCAGAACGTGAATAAAAAAGGTCACAGAAGGAGGTTGTATATAATAAGTTATGGCAAAGTGAGCTGTGAGATGAAGTAAAGGCAGAAAAAGGTTTGGGGAGGTTAAGGACTGGTTCACATCAACGCCACTCAGCTCTCTTAAAGGCTTTGCCCATTATTTTTCAATGTAAGAATGATTTTAAAAAGAGAGAACCTTGTGACACGATAATAGTTTGACATTGCAAAGACCCCAATTTATTCCCAAAGCTGTTAAGAATGTTGTTAGACCTCTCTGAATAAGAAAACACGTGCAGTCTCCAGATCAGGAAGCACAAGTGCTGGCGTGCTGCTCACACTGCTCATCCTCAGGGGAAGATCCTTCTAGAAGCCTCGCAGTTGTCCTAATAAAAAGTTCAACGTGGTTAAAGAAAAACGAGATCAATATTTCATGCCATGAGGCAATGTATTCTTTGAGCAGACATGATTTCATTTATTGAAACAAGAGAAAGGTGAAATATTGTGTAATTTCGTAAGAGCTGCGGTAAGATGAGGTGAATTTACCTAAAATAGGCTCATTGAGACAGATCTGGAAATCTGTGACGTGCCAGGGGTGATTCCCAAATTAACCTGACCTCTTGTGAAGGACAGCCACGATCACAGCTTCCAAAGGCAGCCTCTAAAATTGGCCCACAGGCATCTGCAAAGAGCGGACGGAAGGAAACAACAAACATTTTGCAGAATGGATTTTGGGGGAAAACTCCCAATGAAAATTCACACAGGGAAATAGGAACTGTCCCAGATCCTCAGCATCAAGACCTGCTGGACCAGAAACAGCACAAAGAGATCCAGAAGAAGCCATGCCAGCTGAGAGCAAATCGAGCAATTGTAACTGGCACAGAAAACAACATTTGTGACATTTAATTAAATTGCAGAAATGTTTTGCTAATGCAAAATTTTTGCATGGAGGAAATGCCCCCAAAGTGGATGCTGTACGCTGGGAATCAATGCATGACACCGAGGGCAGATAACCAGAGACCCCCTGACAACCTCAAAGTAACTGTTATCCACTGCCAACTCATTTTGGAGAGCACGACACAGATATCAGCGCATGCACAGGTATGACCAGGTCCAGGATTAAAACAGAATGAAAGCAGCTTTTATAAAAATATAAAGAATCAATGTCCTACTGAAATCACGTGGGAGCCTAAGTGCCTCCCTGGGTCTGAGCCCAGCGCCTTCAGGGCCAAATATAAATAAAGGCTGAAAGGCCTGAGCTATTCTGCTAAATGTGAAAATAAGCATTTTGGCCAGACTAAAAGGCAATAAGAAAAATATCTATAATCTAAATGTCTGCTTGACTACTTTGTAACAAGATTTAGGCCCAGCCACGAGCCATCAAGGACATGGTTCCAGTATCAGAAAGAGATACGAAAACCTGAGCCACAGGTGCGCCCTGAGGCTGTAGAGCTCCCCTGGAAGGGGCAGACTGGAGCAGAGTTTTCTCTATGGGGGAGTGCAGTTATCAGAGCAGAGATCCCCAGCGAATGCTGTACACGCACGGTCACCTCCCCAAACACAACTCCTCGCCGTGCTCACGTCCCGGCTAGGTTTCGCTACCCAGAAGCAGCAGGTAACGCTGCCCAACTCGCACTGCTGCGCTTTTTTCGCTCCGATCGCTGGGAAGGACCCACGTGAAACCGACCCGATGGAGCCGCACCGCCCCGGCTGCCCGCGCCCCGCCCCAAGGACGGCGGCGGACCTCGCGGCGCGGCCTGAAGGCGGCGCTATAACCGCGGCGCAGCGTGCAGCGCGGGCGGCCATGGCGGCGGGTCGGCTGCCGGCGGTGCTGCTGCTCCTCGCCCTGCTGCTGGGCGGCACGGCGGGGCCCGGCGCTCGGGCGGCGCGGAGCCGCGGCGCCGAGAAGCAGAACAGCTTCCGCCGAGCCGCCAGCGGCCTCTACCAGGGCGTCAGCGGCCTGTTCGGGGAGGACAACGTGCGGGCCCTGCAGAAGGTGAGGCCGCTCTTCCCGCTCGTACGCGCGCACCCGCGCTGCCTCCCCTTCCCCGGCTGTCCGAGGGCCGCGCGTCGCACGGCGAGAGGCCGCAAGGAGCGAAGCCCGGTGCCGGGCCCGGCCGAGCGGCGGGAGCCGGGCTTTGGGGAGGGGAGGCGCGCGGCGAGCCGCAGCGCGACGGCGGCGAGGAGACGTCCGGTTAAAGCCGTTCCGGGTGGCGGAGGCTGGCGGCTGTCCGCAGGAGCCCTCCGGCCGGGATGCAGAGCGTGCTGCGCTCTGTGGGTGCGCTGGGGAAGGAAGCGGTGCTGAGCCCTGGCGTGCCCCGGCGCATCTCGGTTGCTCGATGAAAACGCGATTCTCTGGCATGCTCTACCGTATCCGTCGTGTTTTCTTTAAGCCTCTAAACGATGCACTGCGAACAAAGTGCGTTTTTGAAGTCTGTTAACCTGCAAGTTTGCGTGCTAAAGCACCTTAATAAGAGCAACTGTGCCACTAAGTTTGTGATTATAGAATCACAGAATGGCCGGGGTTGGAAGGGACCTCAAGGATCACAAGTCTCCAACCCCCCGCCACAGGCAGGGCCACCAACCTCCCCATTTAATACCAGCCCAGGCTGCCCAGGGCTTCATCCAGCCTGGCCTTGAACACCTCCAGGGATGGACGGGGCATCCACAGCCTCCCTGGGCAGCTGTTCCAGCGTCTCACCACCCTCACAGGAAAGAACTTCCCCTGACATCCAACCTAAGTCTCCCTTCCCTCAACTTAAAACCATTTCCCCTTGTCCTGCTGTTATCTACCCTTTCAAAGAGTTGACTCCCCTCCTGTTTGTAGGCTCCCTTTAGATACTGAAAGGCTGCAATGAGGTCACCCCACAGCCTTCTTTGCTCCAGGCTGAACAAGCCCAGCTCCCTCAGCCTGTCTTTGTAGATAAGGTGATGCAGCCCTCTGATCATCTTTGGGGCCCGGGACAGCCTGAGCTGGAGGGTGGTGGCCCTGCCTAGGGCAAAGGCTGGGACTGGGTGCTCTTAAAGTCCCTTCCAACACAAGTCCTTCCGTGGTTCTCTGGTTCAATTTTTTTCCTTGGGGTCTTCAAAATATTCTGCAGTTTCTGCTGCATGACTTACAGTTCTGCTCATGACTAGTAAGTTGCAATAATTGAGGGATTTTATTATTCTTTCTTAATTTTCAATTTTATTTCTCAGTTTTTCTCAAGGTTGACAGAGAGGTTTGTGAATGGGGTGGATGTGTTAATGGACACGTTCTGGAGAATATGGACTGATTTGTTAGATGTTCTTGGAATTGATGGTAAGTGTGATGATGCCATTTAACCCCTGAGCTGTATCAATCCGTGTCATTGCACACAAACATAGGCTGAGTGGGAAACTAACTGTGTTGAATCATTGTACATAGAACATTCACCAGTGGTATCTCTGCCTACTTCACGTGATTTTGACTGTGCTATTATGGCCTCCAAACCAGAAGCTTAAACCCAACTGTTGTGTTTTGGTGTGAGTGCTTATAGGATGTCTGTAATAGGGTGACGGGTCACGGTCAGCTCTTTGGTGTCATCATTGAATGGATGCAAATAGTGTGGAACAGTGCATGGAAATGAAGGAGAGGTGCAGAATCTTCTTTAAGAGCATTAATTAAATTGCATCATTAGAGCTGGGCCAGTGATCAGAGAAAGATCCATCCAGAAGTGGGTAACTGAAGCTGTGCTTTCCGCCGTTCTCTCTTGTGTGTGCGCTCGTTAACACGCTGTACATTTCCCTTTGTTTTTCAGCCTCCAACTTGACTCACTATTTCAGCCCAGCAGCAATTGCCAACAACCCAACCCGGGCTGTTCTGCTCATCGGTGCCATCTTACTCGCCTATTGGTTTTTATCCCTCTTCCTCGGATTCTTCTTCTATCTCCTGCACATGATCTTCGGCCGTTTTTTCTGGATTGCGAGGGTTGCCCTCTTCACCCTCTCGTGCATTTACATCCTGCAGAAGTACGAAGGCGACCCGGAACACGCGGTGCTGCCTCTCTGCTTCGTGGTGGCCGTCTACTTCATGACGGGGCCGGTGGGATTTTACTGGAGGAGAAACAGCAACAGCAGCCTGGAGGAGAAGATGGACCACCTCGACAGTCAGATCAGACTGCTGAACATCCGTCTGTCCAGGGTGATTGAGAACCTGGACAGAGGCGGTGACCAATGACCCCACCCCCATAGACCACCGTACACCAGCTCTAGAAAGTTCCTAAGCACTGTCTCATTTGAAGTTACAAAGCAACAAAACATCACATGGTAAAAAGTGTGCAGAGTTATAACTTTTCATCATGTGTAAGACTAATTGATCTAGATTACACACTCAGCCATTATACTTGTAGGAAAAAGAATTAAGCCGTATATTCAGAGTTTTATCCAGTACTAGAATTTTATCAGTAGAGAAACGCTTACTTTTACAAGCATTTAAAAACATCTTTTGTAAATTTTTTATAAAAGCAAATCGAGTAGTCTTTAAAATACTGAAATTCAGCTAAACATATGCAAATTTGACACACAAAGTTAAAATCTAAAGCTACCAAACACTTCTGTTGAGAGGTAACTGCTGTGGGTCCACCCTTTGCTGTTGTTGTTTGTTTGTGCAAAGTCTCAAATGGTTTTCTCTTACTGTTGGCTTATTTCATTGCCTTGAAGTTGTATTTCGTAGAATATAAAGTAATTTTCTGGTATCCAGGCCATAAAATTCATGCCCTAGATTTTAATAGGAGGCAGAGAATAAGGGAGAAGGATGATTTATTAAGTTTCAGGTCCTTAAACGCCAGTCCCACATAAGGAATTGAGAAGTGCACGTGTGGCTTTATTTCATTGCTTTTCCTATCAGGAACTTATTTTGACATCTGAAAGGAAATCCGATTTAATTGATTGACACAAGAGGAAAAGATGTAGCGTGGCAATCTGTAATTCCTATCTGACCTTCATAGTGAAGTGTATTTCAAGCATCAGTGCGTAGGATGGAATAATGCAGTTTTTCATCTTGGGACCCATTTACACAAAAGAAGTCAGCGGTTAAACCACTTGCAAGTGCATCGTTGCTGAAAGCTTTCTCAGGACCAATAAGTGGCAATAAATTACCTGCAGGAGGATCTGGATTTCTTTTCTAAAATTGTTTTGTAGGCGCTTTTATCCTGAAGTCTGTGTCCTCAGTATACTGGGCTTTGGGGAAGCGAGTCTCCTCATGTGCTAAACAAAGCCACGTAGGATCTTGGAGCAGCTGTATTTTGAAGGATGTATGTGTTTGTAACCTTGTGATTAAGCAGCTTGGTAGGTAAGCACTGGTTTTGTACAGTTTGAGATGTGCTGAAACAAAGGTGACCTCAGGGAGGGAAGTCTGTCAGAGGTTTGTAACCAATGGCGCTGAGTGCTGAGCACAGTGACAGTGCCAGCAGAGGTAAAAATGGGCCACAGCTGAGGAACAACGCCTTGCCTAACTTCTGAATGATAGGTTAAGAGAACCTGCAGCAAGAACTGGGTCTGCAGCAGGGACTGGCCTGAAAGCAATGGGAGCAAATCCACGTGGCTGCTGAGCGGGGCCGCGGCTGCCCGGGCAGGGCCTCAGTGTGCTGCTGTACTGAATGTATCGTGGGCTGAATTGTTTTTTTCCTTTACGCTGAAGTTTAATGCTCTTCTGAAAAAGCGTTTTGCTTGCCTAACCTCTTCTGGTCTGTCTGTGGCATTTACGTGAATGGCTCTTTTATAATCCATTCTTATGGCCTTCGTGTCAACCTGCAGTCGCTGAAGTTGGACGTGGTTGGAGTTGATATGCAGTTGGCACTGTTGTACGCAATTTAATTTTTTTATTGCATCTGCAGTTTCCTCTGAGTCTCATTTTTCAAGAAATACATGGTTAGAGTTGCAAAGAAGCCGCTTTTTTGCAACTTAAAATCCTTCCCATAAACAGATAAGCTCTATGGAGACAAATAATCTGCCTTGCGAAGCTGAGCATTGGAGTGACGGTGTATTCATTTGTTACAGCTCATTTTCTGTAATATTGCAGAGTCTTCCCTGTAAGCTCTGGTTTTGCTGCTGTTGTGCACAGAGGACTGAGCTCAGCACCACCGTGGACATTAGGAATTGGTTAGCAAAGGTGGTCACGTCTCTTAGTCTTGCTAAATCTGAGGCCTGAGGACCAAAGTCTGCAAACCTTACTCCATTGCCTTCAGTAGGACTATGTGCATGAGTCAGATTTGCATAGATTGTATTTTACATAATCCATATTTAATGTTGAAGTTAAAAATGCTGAATCGTTTATATATTAAGAGCTGTCTATTATAAAGATTTCTTTACAAATACTATATGAAACTTGATTTGGATTATAGTTTCTCCCTGTGTCTGTAATCATTTATTTTAGTTTTGTAAAAATCAGCCCTCCTGTATTAATTCTCTTAGTTTTGATCGCCCTGCTGCTTGGAAAAAGTATTTTTGTATTTACTTGCATCCCATGTATAGCAAAATGTTATGTGAAGAGCAGTATATATAAAATTGGATATTTTTAATCAGTATTTTTCCCAGCACTCAGTTT